GAGCCCTACATTGGGTACTGCCCCCGTTATATATAGCCCTTAATAGGACCCCTGGTATAGACTGTTACTGGGTGGGGGCAGTACCCAACCTAAACCCTAAACCCCAAACCCTAAACCCTAAATGGTAGTAGTTTCCATTTTATTTTCCATTATCCCAATATAACCCCAATGTAACCCCAATAAACCCTAAGCCGTACTTACTTGCTCTTTACAGGTTTAGAGTAATGGGCTTAAGGGTCTAGGGTTGAACCATCACCCCCCCCCTAGGTTTAGGGTCTAGGGTTTAGGGTCCTAAACCCTTAACCCTGAGGGGTTCGAAGTTGGAAGCCTGGACTTAAATGGCATCGGGCCTACTTCGAGGTCTTTGTATACTTTAAGACCTACACCCTAAACCCCTAAACCCTAAAGCCTACAACCTAAAACCCCTAAACCCTAGACCATACTTGCTCTTGACGGGTTTAGGGGTTAGGGGTTCAGGGCTTTAAGCCTATGACCCATGAAACCTGATCTTAAAGGCGGAGGGGCTTGATGGAACTCCGGGGCTTAGGGCTTGAGCCCATATATGGTTTGGGCTTGAGGAGCTCTAAACCCTCAACCCGAAGCCCCAAACCCTAAAGCCTCAGGGTTCAGGGTTGAGGGAAATTTAGGGCTTTGGGTTCTGAATTTACGCTTCAGGGCCGTAGCACTTTGGGGCTTGGGCTTCGTGCTTCGCCTGCCGACCTGATAAGAATTGCAGGTTTCCAGAAATCAGAGCAGGTTTTGGGGCTTACAAAACACAATGTACTATAGTCCTGCTGATGCGGACTCCCTAAATGGGAGCCCTCATCTTCAGAAACCCCCACTGAAGCTTGAGGAGCCCAGTGTTCGGCGCATGAGACTTTGGGGTGTAGGGTTTTTAATGGTTCTTTTGAAGGGGCTTACGGATGGTTATGTTTTGCTTATATTGGGATGTACAGGGTGTTGAATCTGATTTAGCTTTAGGGTTTAAGGTCTTTAGAGATGACGAGCACAATGGAGAATCAGATCTCCTGATAGCCAGCCTTCAGAAGGTACAGACAGCCCCCAAAAGCCCCAAAGCTTAGCCTGAAAGCCCTTAACCCGAAGGACCTTATGCTAGGGTTCGTTATTGTTCCTAAAGGACATGCAGGGGGACAAAAAAAGGCTGAACGGGGCTACCGGGTTGGGGGGAGGGGGGCCAATACCAAAACCATGAGCTTAAAAGGCATTGAAACTGGCCCTTTTATAATCTGGGTCTAGGGTTTAGGATTACTTTCAGAACGTGAAAGTAGCATGTTTCCGAGTGCGTCATCTACATGAGCCACCTTTGGAGTATTGAAATTGTCCATTTAAACAGTTTCAAAACCTGACATTAACCTCATCCGGCATCACATTCTCCATACGCACCACCGTTTGGAGCATTGAAAGAGGCAGACTGGTAGCAACTAAGGGTACAAAACAAGAGCCCTAAACTCTGCTGTAGCAGCCGCCGACAAAGGCAAACACGACCAGAGCGACATCGTGAGCGAATATGATAAAGAGAAGCCCTGAAAACAATATTGTGTGCCATTTAATCAAACCTAGTCTAAACTCCAAACCCTAAGCCCCAAACCCTAAACCTGCAAGTACACCCTAAGCCCTAAACCCTTCAACCTAACCCTGCAAGCTTTGGCCTCCAACCCTCGAAGTCTAAGCTTGTAGTCCTTCATATGGGCTATATAATCTACTCTCCTAATATCCCCCTCAATAACCCCTATAGTAGTCCCCTATATATTCCCTTATAAAACCCCCTTTAAGGAGTGTAGACTATAGCTCAATATACGAGCCTGCAGAATGGGTTTTTCAGCCGCCTTCTCTAGTGCGGCCTGTGTGGCGTAGGGCAATGTAGACTTCCGGTTAAGGGCTGATGGTTTAGGGTTTAGGTTGGTTGGTTGAGTTAGGGATTAGGAGCTAGGGTTTAGGGTTTAGAGTTTAGGATTTAAAGTTTAGGGTTGAGGGCACGGCTGACGGCTTAGGGTTCCCTCCTAGAGCCCAGGTCTCGGACTTTAGGATTTGAGGCTCGCAAAAAGGCGTGGGCCACGGAGAAAAAGGCTGTACCTTTGGAATTTGAGTTTTAGGCTTTGGGGTTGAAACGGTATGTTTGGGAAGTATCTCCCAAAACGAGGTTCCTCCTTGGGTTCAGATATGTTTCTGCCAAGAGGCTGGTTCTAACTCCATATCACCCTCATCTCCCCGCATAACCCCTTTGAAGGGATCTGTACATTCTTCCCCCACACCCCCTGACCCTACCCGAAAGCTTTAATGCCTAAACCCTCCCCCACCCCCGAAAGAGGCTGCCTCCCAAAGCTTTTCGAGATGAAAACGCTTCTTGTGGATTTTTCCGGCCTGCGCACGGCTTCGGATTTAGGGTTTGGGGGTTGGGTCTTTTGGGTGCAGGGGGTGGGAGATGTCTAAAGTCAGGGACCCTTTTTGCAAACCCACATCTCAGCTGTAATTAAGCCTAAACAAGCTTAAGCGGGTGAACAAGGGGGAGATAGTATACACAGGGTGCGTAATAGATGAACCCATGACGCCCAGAACACGGAATCTTCGACCCGAAGCCCTACACGTGGCTAAACCCTAAATTCCTAAACCCCAAACCGCCTGGTGCGCGTCGAGGTCAGAAACGGTGCGGGTGCTCACATGGCAAATGTCGCACCTGCCGCACTTGGGGATTGATGGTTTAGGTTATGAGGGTTTAGGGTTTAGGGTTTAGGGTTCAGGCTTCTGGGTTTAGGGCTTAGGGCTTAGGGGCGGCTAGGCTTATGCGCATAGGAAACCAGAGGATCCCGGCAAAAATGAGCAGCCCAACAGGTGAACCCGGCGTCTCCCATCCGAAGTAGGAGTCTCAGGTTGAGGAGCCTGTCCAAGTAGGGTTTAGGGTTTAGGGATGGGTTTACGGTTTAAGTTTAGGGTTTAGGGGGTATTCTTTTGGTCGGATGTTTTTTACTTAGAGCTGCCTCCCTGTTGTCATGGGACTCACAAGCAACCCCTGCCTACCCCTTCATAGATTGTATCGTTTCACGAAGAAACTTGAACCTAGATGCTAAACCCTAAACTGCCTATACCCCTAAATAATCCTAATATGACCCCTATAGCCCCCCCTGTATAACCCTAGTAAAACACGCCCGCCTCCTCCCCTTAACTGGAAACTCAAACCCTAAACCCTAAAACCCTAAACCCTATCTACCCTAAAACCCTAAACCCTAACACCCGAAAACCTAAACCCAAAAACTCTAGACCCTATATACCCTAAAACCCTAAACCCTAACACCCGAAAACCTAAACCCGAAAACCCTAGACCCTATATACCCTAAAACCCTAAACCCTTACACCCGAAAACCTAAACCCTAAAACCCTAAAACCTGAACCCACAATCCTAAACCCTAAACCCTAAATCCTTAACCCTAAATCCTAAACCCTATACCTGGGGGATCCTTGGCAGTTCCTCAGTTTGGGAAGCTTAACTCCTCCTAAACCCTAAGCCCTCGACCGCAGCACAGCCTGAAGTTGAACGGGCCCTGCTTCGACTGGCTTGGGTTGCAGCAGTACCTCCATACATTTTGCATGGGTTTTAAGGGTTTTAGGGTTTTAGGGTTTTAGGGTGTTAGGGTTTTAGGGTTTTAGGGTTTAGGGTTTTTACGGGAACCTCCTGGATTATGGGGGCATATAGGGGGCTATGTATGGGTTACACAGGGGTTATATAAGAGTTGGATAGAGGTATATAGGGGTTCTGTGCTGTTAGGGAACTTAAAACTAAGTTACTATAATAAGGAAAACCCTACTCCTCACCATATAGCGATATTATGGTAATTTTTAACTAATATTTATTCCATACTCGTATGATGATAACTTTTGAACGATATTTGTCATATACCCCTATTATGGTAACTTGAATTAAGTTCCCGATCAGCAACCCCATCTTTGGAGGGAGAAGGGTTCTTTTCTCGAGCCTCCATGCTGAGGCCGCTTCCAAAGCCGGCCTCACAGGGCACAGGCTAAGGGCTTTGAACCATGGAATCAGCGATCATATCCCAGTAAAAGTACTAGTGGTAATGTCTGTTTTAGTACAAGTAACGGTGGTAACGGTTTGAGTCTAGAGTTTGCCCTTGCTTTTGTTGTTTGCTTCTATCGGGGCTGTACACAGGTTAAATAGGGACAAAGTGGGGCTACACAAGGAAGCTACATGAATCTATAGGGGTTTAAATGGAGGATCAACTGGAAAATGACGTGGAAGCCAATGGCATTGTAGGAATGTATTGGTGTGTTGGTGGTGCTTTAATGCGTAGGCTTGAGGGCCTAGGGATCAAATTAAGATTTAGGAGTCGAGATTTAGGGCTTAGGAATTAGGATAAGGTTTTGAATGACCGGAAGAAGGGCTTACAGAAGTGTTGGCTGAAGATGCGCGATGTTAGTTTGCTCTTTTCCCAGGTTGTCGAGGCCAACTAATTCATGTTTTTTTTACGAGCTGGTGCTTTGGTTGGCGCCTTAGTTGCCTCAAGTCGCTGTATACAGTTTTACCAAATCCTGAAAATCGGAGCTTGGAACGGGAAAAGCACCTTAAATTCTCCGGTTCAATGCACATTAAACCTTTCACGTAAATGCACTGTAACCCTCAACTCTTAACACTACATCCCAAGCCAAAGGTCCTCAACCTCGAGACTCTGGAACCAAAACTAGGGTAGACTTCTAGGGGCCCCCAACAGGACAGAACTTGTAAGAAGGACACGTACCAGGGCATTATATGGGTCTGTCCCCTCTGGAAGGGGCTGAGAATCTACCTGAAAAACCCTCAACCGCCTGAAAATCTCGCTCTCGCGGTGGGCATAGAGGAAGATTGTCGCATCCGTCGGCTTCACAGACGCGTCTGCAGAGAGCAAGGGATGTCAATGGAATATGTCGAGACTGTGGGGGTCTGCAGGACATGCAGGGCCTGTTGCCCCCACACACACTCGGGGGTCCAAACATAACTTATATGCCAGACTATACTCATTCTCCTTGTTATAAGGACCCCACTTTCTGGAACATCCACCTCAAGGCGCCAACCCCTAGGGTTTAGGGTTTCCAAAACCCAAAGTCCAAACCGATCCGAGCCTGAGCTTGCTGTTTCGGAACCTACTCGGGCATCAATGGAAAGTCAGAAGGAGGACAGATTGGAAAATGAAATGAATCTGGGTTTTTGTAGGACTTATATAAGGTTTTAAGAAAGTTGAATTACGCTACCATTTGAAGGAAACCACGTTTTGTACTGCATATCCCGGTTCTGGTCTGTGACATAGCTTCCGATCGTTTACAGCAACCCAGTAAACCCTAAACCTAAACTCCCGAAACCCAACCCCGAAACCCTAAACCTTGTACCCTCAACATGAAGCCCAACCACTATATCCTAAACTTTATTTCCGCAACCCTCAACTCCAAACCCAACCACTAAAGCCTAAACCCCAAAGCCCCAAACCCCAGACCCAACCACTAAAGCCTAAACCCTAAACCCCCAACCCCAAACCCCAGACCCAACCACTAAAGCCTAAACCCTAAACCCCAAACCCCAAGCTCTACATGATGTACAGTCCCCAAACCACACAGGCCTCGATTTACGTTGCACGGCCCGCCATAGAGAGAAGGGTATTCTGTGTACCTGTGGGCTCTAGATGTTTTTTAAAGACCTCTAGATCTTTATGGCTTAGGCGTTAAGGTCTAGGGTTTGGGGTTTAGGATTCGGGCTTATGGTTTAAGAATTCTGGCCAACTGTGAGGAATTTCCTATCCTGAAACAAACTCCCATGGCGTGAATTAATTACACAGAGCATCATCTGGGTTGAAATCAAGTGAGGTCACTGCAATCTTGCCCAGACCTGATATGGGAGTCGTCAAAAGATGCGGGGGTCCTTTACGGAGTCCCCAATATTGAGTATTACTGTATATATGGGAGTCTTGAAAGCGGGGGGTCGGTTTTGGGGGGGTAGCTCTAAGCCCGAAATCCTGAACTCTCGACCCTGAACCCAAAACCCCAGAAAATCCTAAGTCCTAGCCCCGCACCCCTAAACTCCAACACCTACATGGCGGTGTCGGTAAAGAGCCCCGCAAATATACCCCAAAATATACTAGTCCTCCTACAAAAGCACTAGCCCCAATGTACCCCTGTATTTCATATCCCTGTAACCCTCGAATCCAGAAACCACCCTGAAGCCTAAACCCTAAACCCCAATTCCGAAACCCTAACCCCTAAACCCATAACCCTACACCCTCAACCCAAATCCCTGAAGCCCAAACCCTAAATCCGAAACCTTAATCCCCAAACCCTACTTAGAGGTTCATGGGACTTAGTAAATACTCAAAAACTAGGCTTGTAACCTTACTTAGAACTGGTGTAACTCCTATAATGCCACTTAGGGGGGCTAGACGCAAGGTTATAAGCCCAGGTATCAGTAAGTCCCATGAACCTTCAACTAGGTGCCGCAGTAACCCCTTAACAGTACAGGCACCCTTACCTCATGTTCAGCTTTAATAAGGAGACCCCCAAATAAAAAGGGCAAAAGGGTACTACTGCGGCACCTAGTCAAATAGCTCAAACCCTAAACCCCAAACCCTAAACCCGAAACCTGAACCCTAAAACCTTAACCTTAACCCTAAACCCTGAACCCTGAACCCTAAACCCTCAACCCAACTGTTAGGAACCCTTCTCCCGTAATGTTGAAAATGATTCTCGAAGTAGGAGTACCTTAGGAACCCAAGGGATATGTGGGGATTGCAATGGATGGTGGATCTTCTTAGGGATCATATGAGCTATAGTATGCACTCCTAATATCCCCCTCAATAACCGCTGGAATATTCCGCTCTATAATCCCCTGCATAAGCCCCCTTTAAGGAGTTTAGACCGTAAACCCTTTATCATCCCTAAACCCTGAACCGGAGCACTGCCATGGAATGGCACCCATGAAAGCCAGCTCCCCCCCGGCCCAGGCCGGAAGCGCCTTGCGGCAGGGTTTAGGGACTAGGGCTTAGGGTTTAGGGTTTAGGGTTTAGGGCTTAGGGATGAGGGTTTAGGGCTTAGGGGTGAGGGTTTAAGGCTTGGGGTTTAGGGTTTAGGGTTTGGGGTTTAGGGCTAGAACATCCACAACCCCTGACTTGAGGAATATGGCCTGAAGTCCTCAAGTATAGGTTCAGGTGTAATTTCTATTAGAA